AGTAATTTTGCATCTAGAAGTGCTCGTAGAAATTGTTTTATATAGTAGTTGGGTGTTCAATAAATTTTCTTGATGTTTTTATATGAAATTTGATTTATTTATTAAATAGTTTGTTGAGTATAATGAAAATACAATTTATAAATAAAATAATTTATTTTTGTATACTCTTAGATTTTTTTAAATATTTATTATTAGATGCTCAATTTTTAAATTCATCCTGAGCCACAAAATCTCAAAAATGGGTCTGGTTATATAATATTCTCCATGTCCACTTAAATTTTTTGAAATTTTAATTCATTATTATTTAAATTTAATTATTTATAAAAAAATATATATATATATATTAGAAACACCTAATCAAATAATTTTAAATACAATTTTATAAAATATGAATTTTTAATTTCTTTTTATAAATTATGAGAACATATGTAATAATAATAAGAAGAAAATCAATGTTGGCCATAAGAAATGTTGGCAGGACACTCCAAATCCTTATTTAAGTTAGCATTCTTTCAATTGACTTGTTAAAATAATTGTTTATAATAAAATGTTTCATATAATTTTGCATTGCAACAGATTCTAAGCTTTTGTGCTTTGGGATAGATATCAACGCAAGATTTTATATTGGAAGGAGAATTTGAATTTTTTAAATTTCAAGGATGATAAACTTGAAATTATAAAATTTTAAGAAATAAAAAAATTAAATAAAATATATAAAAAAATATAAATATAAAATAATTTTAAATTTTTAGATCGATTATCCCACCCTTCCCTTCGATTCATCCCTATTTTGGGTATCAACGAACCACTTGACGCGGCCATAACCATCATTATTTGGGAACTTTGGAATCTTCAATTATCAATTTATATATTGAAACAAATCTAAGGTGAAAAACAGGCATACTACCAACTTTCAACCACTATCATCACCCAAAAAAAAAGCATTTTAATTCTGTTTTAGTCAGTAAGTTGTTATCTTTTTAAAACCATACATAATATTATGTTTTAATTCTGTTTTGGTATTTGCTGTTAAAAATTAACAACACAATTGACATAAAAAATTTAATTTACTTTTTAATTCTCAAATCATTTTTTATTAATATTTAATTAAAGAATAATGAAGAAATAATTATTTGGAAATTAAAAAATTAAAATTTGTCACGTCAGTTGTGTCATTAATTTTTTAATGGTGGGTGATCAAAACGTAACATTAGATATGATTTTGAAAAAATAATAGTTGCATGACCAAAACATAACCAACGATATATGTGGATGACTAATTAGGTAGTTTACCCTAGTATTTATTTATGTGAATAACCTCTTTTCTTTATTAATCATGTGAATAATCTCATTGTTTAAATATGGGGTCAAATTTTAACAATAATTCATATATTATCTGTAAATTATAAATTTAGTTTTTATGTTAATTTTTTAATGTATTAATTTTATATTTTTAAAATTTTTAAAATCCAATTATGTCCTAAATGATTCATAAGTATTATGATTGGATTATAAAGATTAAAAATAATCAAATTAGATAATATAAACTAATGTGTGTGAGAGTTTTACAACTTTTTAGGATCATTAGATGAGAGGAAATCAAAGACTGAGATTAATAGTAAAAAATGAGAATATATTTGCTGGAAAAAACAAGGAGTTAATCTCAACATTTGATTTCTTCCCATCCAACGATCTTAAAAAAATATAAAACTAAAAGAGTTTTACATAATGTAAATGGATCCTAATATATATCCATTCACAAATTTATAAGAATATATATGTGTGTGTCGTGTTTAGGTCATCTAACTACTTAGCATCATGAGCATTTTCTTTTTCTATTTTAGGGAAATAAAAGGTGAACAGTATTCTGACTATATGTTATAAAAAGAGGAAAATATCTTTTGCCCTTTCATTGCTAAATATATAATAGTGGGAAAATTTAATGGACGACAACCTAATTTAAAGTTAAAAATGTTAATTTTAGGCGCAATCGAAAATATGATAAAAATCATTATATTTCAAGTTGGGCGTAACCTAAAATGTTTGGAAACGTTGTCCTCTTTTTAATATTTTTGGTTGTACCAAAAATATTACATTATTCATAATATTTTTAATTGACAACAGAAAATATTATATTATTCGTAACATTTTAGATTATGTTTAACCTAATTCAACCCCTTTTTGCGATTTTCGGTTATTTATAAGAGTTAGCAAATTGCTAGTGATTTTGCATCTAGAAGTGCTCGTATAAATTGTTTTATGTAGTAGTGGGGTGTTCAATAATTTTTCTTGTTTTTATGTGAAATTTGATTTATTTATTAAATAGTTTGTTGAGTGTAATAAAAATATAATTTATAAATAAAATAATTTATTTTTGTATACTCTTAGAATTTTTTAATATTTATTATTAGATTCTCAATTTTTAAATTCGTCCTGAACCACCAAAATCTCAAAAACGGGCTTGGTTATATAATATTCTCCATGTCCACTTAAATGTTTTGAAATTTAATAATTATTTATAAAAAAATAATATATATATTAGAAACACCTAATCAAATAATTTTCAATATAATTTTATAAAATATGATTTTTAAATTTCTTTTTATAAATTATGAGAATATATGTAATAATAATAAGAAGAAAATCAATGTTGGCCAAAAAAAATGTTGGTTGGACACTCCAAATCCTGATTTAAGTTGGCAATTCTTTTCAATTGACTTGTTAAAATAACTGTTTATAATAAAATGTTTCATATAATTTTGCATTGCAACATATTCTAAGCTTTTGTGCTTTGAGACTGAGACCAACGCACGATTTTATATTGAGAGAAGAATTTAAATTTTTTTAAATTTCAAGGAGATGAATTTGACATTATAAAATTTTAAGAAATAAAAACAAATTTTTAATTAAAAATATATATAAAAATATAAAATATAAAGTAATTTTAAATTTTTTGGAGTGATTATCCTACCGTTCCGTTCCGTTCCGTTCCCTTCCCTTCCCTTCAGTCCATCCCTATTTTGGGTATCAACGAACCACTTGAAGCGGCCTATAACCATCATTATTTGGGAACTTTGGAATCTTCAATTATCAATTTATATATTGAAACAAATCTAAGAGGGAGAAAAACAGGCATACTACCAACTTTCAACCACTACCATAAAAAAAACCTTAAAAAAAATAACTCAATTTTATCATTTTTATAAAAATCTAGGGTAAACTAATTATTTAGTCACCCATATATCATTTTAATTCTGTTTTAGTCACTAAGTTGTTATCTTTTTAAAATCATACATAATATTATGTTTTAATTCTGTATTGGTATTTGTTGTTAAAAATTAACAACACAATTGGCATAACAAATTTTAATTTATTTTTAATTTCAAATCATTTTTTATTAATATTTAATTAAAGAATAATGAAGAAATAATTATTTGGAAATTAAAAATAATTAAAATTTGTCACGTCAGTTGTGTCATTAATTTTTTCAATGGTGGGTGATCAAAACGTAACATTAGATATGATTTTGAAAAAATAATGGTTGGATGACCAAAGTAGAACCAACGTTATATGTCGATGAATAATTAGGTAGTTTACTCTAGTTTCTGTTTATGTGAATAATCTCTTTTCTTTATTAATCATGTGAATAATCTCATTGTTTAAATGGGGTCAAATTTTAACACTAATTCGTATATTATTTGTAAATTATAAATTTAGATTTTATGTTAATTTGTTCAATGTATTATTTTTAAAATTTTAAAATTCAGTTATGTCCTAAATGATTCATAAGTATTATGATTGGATTATAAAGATTAAAAATTATCAAATTAGATAATATAAACTAATGTGTGTATGTGAAAGAGAGTTTTACATCTTTGTTGGATCGTTAGATGAGAGGAAATTAAAGACTGTGATTAATAGTAAAAAATGAGAAGATATTCGCTAGAAAAAACAATAAGTTAATCTCAGCCTTTGATTTTCTCCCATCCAATGACCTTAAAAGAATATAAAACTAAAAGAATTTTACATAATACAAGTGTATCTCTCCCTCTCCCTCTCCCTCTCCCCCTCTCTCTCTCTCTCTTCCCCCTCCCCCTCTCTCTCTCCCTCCCTCCCTCCCTCCCTCGCATCATGAGCATTTTCTTTTTTTATTTTAGGGAAATAAAAGGTGACTTATATGTTATAAAAAAAGAGAAAAATATCTTTGGCCCTTTTATTGCTAAATATATGATGGTGGGAAAATTTAATGGACGACAACTTACTTTAAAGTTAAAAACATTAATTTTAGGTGCAATAAAAAATCAGATAAAAATTATTATATTTAAAGTTGGACACAACCTAAAATGTTATAAAATATTATCCTCTTTTTAATATTTTCGGTTAAACCGAAAACATTATATTATTCATAATATTTTTAATTGACAACAAAAAATATTATCTTCTTTATAACATTTTAGATTATATTTAACTTAAAATATTATAATTTTTATCACATTTTAGATTACTCCACGCTCTATTTTCAATTCCTGTTGCTTAGCTTTTCATTCCTGCAAGAAGAGGCGTTACCCCTATGTTCTTTTTATATATAAAAAATTAATCCTACTGTTGTTATTTTCGAAAGTTCAACTCTTTTTTCAAAATTTAAAATTTATGTTTAATTTTTAATACTATTTATTTTTTATAAATATCTAATGTGCTATTTTAAATAAAAATATTAATTTAACAATTATGCAAATAAAAGTAGCACAGTAATAAACTTGAATTTAACAGAAGTTTTAACACTTTTAATAATTTTACTTGAATCTTTAAATTTGAAAAGAAAAATGACTGTATTATAAAACATATAAAATTATAAACTAAATGTAAAAATCATGAAATGTGTAGGGACTCCACGGATATTTTAACCAAAAATACAGAGATATCATGGGAAAGAAAAGCGACCGCGTTTGATTTATTTTATTTATGTTGTTCACATAAAAGCAACCGCGTTGAAGAAACGCAACAATAAACGCAATCTAAATTATCTTTCTTTTGTGTTTCTTTTTCCATTTCCTATAAATATTCGCTGCAAAAGTTTATTGGTACTCATCCTCGATCATCTCCGTTCAATAAAATCACTTGGTGAAAGAATCTGAATCTGCTACAACAAGGTAATTTCAATCTCACGTCTTTTCTTTTGCTTTCAAGAATTTCATCTCTGCTTCGATCCAAAATTCTCGGTTCCTTCATATAAGCTTGTTTATCGCGTTTGTTTAATCTATCGCTTTGATATTTTTCGATTTTAATTATGAAAGTTTTTTTTATATTGTATTATCTTTGGGTTTCTTTCCTTTTAATTGTTGTGCCTGTGGGGTTTAATCACTTGATTCTTTTTCCCCCTATTGTTAGTACTTTGTTAATTTTACAGATCGTTTCGGATATTAGATAATCTTAAAATATTTAATTGTTTATCATATATATGAACTTTTTACCCTTATATTGCTAAATTAGTTTTGGCGAATTGTGTCAAGTTAGCGGTAAGTGATTGTGTGATTATATAGCTAAATTAGGTCAGGCGAATTGTGTAAAATTAGTAGTCAGTGAATCAATGCATTCAGGGGTTGCCTTCGAGTAAAAAAAGTTTGAGTTATTTAATTGGATGAGTCTTATTTGACAACTCGAATTGACTTTAAATTTTTCTGAGTCGAGTCGAATTTATAAAATTCGAGTCGAGTCGAGTTGAATTTTGAACTTTCTATTTAAATTTAATTGTAAATATTTATAATATTAAGATATTATTTAATTCAAATCTAAATGGTTTTTTTTATAATCATATGCAATATATATATATATATATATATATATATTCATTTTTTTTCATGTGATATATATGTAGCAGTCAGGAATTTTATTTTTAGACCGATATTTTTGTACTGTCTTTGTTAGAGGAGTTTATAAAGCTTGAACAAATAGAAGATTTTAGAGAACTGAAATAAAAGTATTCTAAAAGGCTTGGCAATGGAATATGCTAATTGTTTCATTTTGTCCACATGTCAAGCCAAGAAAGAAGGGCATGTCAAGGTTTACATGGGCGTATAAACAAATAGGGATGTCTCAATAGCTGAAACATTAGAAAATAGGAAGTCAACTTGAAGTCAACCCATCAATTTTGATACTTGACAAAGAGTTATAACTTTGAAATGTTAAAGAGCAGTTGATTCTTTTGATATTCTGTGAACTCATGTTTGCAATTTGATTGTGAGTCTGAATTAAGGGGCAATCATTCACAAAATTCTTTCATTCTTTGATTTTTAAAATAAAAGAAAGTAGAAAACATTTTCAAGCAAAACAGTCTCAAATGTGAAAAGTTCTTGGAACAGTGATCCGTCAAAGAGACAAATGATTAACTCCCTCAGATCTGATATTCCCTTAGAAGAAGCGGAACATATCACTCTCTTCAAAGATTTGATATTCTCTAAGTGACAGCGGAATAAGTCTGTCTCGATTTAATGGATCAACTTCCCCAGATCTAATATTCCCTTAGAAGAAGCGGAACATATCACTCGCTTCCAAGATTTGATATTCCCCGAGTGACAGCGGAACAAGTCTGCCCCAGATTTGATATTCTCTGAGTAACAGTAGAACAAATCTCTTATCATATTTCAACCCATGAAGTTGACCGAACGAAAAATGCATTGTCTCTTTGTCTTTGCCCTATTATTGTTAACATAAGAATGAGTAAAGAGGGGCACCTGTTGACACTCCTTTTTCGTCTAATCTAATATTATCGTTAATATTTATTATTATTATTATTATTAACTTTTTTTATTATTTCCAGAATTCTCATCTACCTTCACCCCATCTAACGGCCCAGATCGAGCTCAAATCATCGATTTCTTTAGCCACAGTTACCTCCAACCGCGTTTACAACTGGATCCAAGGCAAATACAATTATCACTATTATTTTTACCTTCATCATTATGTTTCAGTAAAAAGAAAAAGGAAAAGAAAAAGAAAAAAGAAAAAACTACAATGATTTCAATCATTTTGTTTAACAAAAAAAATTTCTTGCTTTTTCTTTAAATAAAATGATTCAAATCATGGTGTGTGTTTTTCTTTTTGCTTTTGCTTTTTCTTTTTCTTTTTGCTTTTGCTTTTTCTTTTTCTTTTTGCTTTTACTTAAACATAATAATGAAGGTAAAAATAATTGTGATAATTGTATTTGCCTTGGATCTAGCTAGAAACGCGATTGGGGGTAGCTGTTGCTGAAGAAATCGATGGTCTGGACTCGATCTGGACCGTTGGATTGGGCGACGACAGATGAGGATTCTGGAAATAAAAAAATTAATAATAATAATAAATATTAGCGGTAATATTAGACTAGACGAAAAATGTGTGTCGACATATATATTTCATACAAAGTAGAGGAACTTGACCCAAACTTAAAAATCAATCTATTAATTACTGAAAATCTCGAGTTACTATTTGAATTAGATTTTACAACTCGATTTGAACTTGAAATTTTTTCAAGTTAAGTCGAGTTTATGAAATTACAACTCAAATCAATTTTAGTCGTGTTTTCTCAAATCAATTCGAGTCAAAAAATTTGATTTTTTTAGTTGAATTGAGTTTTGTTCACCCCTAGCATTCGTTGAAAAGGAAGTTTCCATACTTTTCTCTTTTAGCCTAATAATGGGATTTTGAAATTATCAACTTATATTCATATAATGTTCTCATCTCGTGTCCAATTTCCTTGTTAGTTTGTGGAATTGTTCTTGATCTTACACTATGATCTGCTTTGATGCTTTTTTTTCATTTACTGTTTAGAATCTAATCAAATTAACAATCTTAGTTCATATCACCACAGTAGCACAGTTGTGATCATTAATTCATTTTATTTGGTATCGGAAAACTTGTTGATTGCATCTGTCTCATAAGTGGGACTTATGTAGATATGAAATTTAATGCTGCTGAAACTTCTTGATCTTGTACTGTTTTCTGCACTCCATATATGGACAACAAGATAATATTGAATATTTTTCCTTGTGTATATATGTGTGTGTCTAGTGATTGGACCAAAGGGGCTGGCCAGGGCAATCACCCCTGAAAATTTCAAATTCTCATATATTTTAGATATTTTATTTGTATTTTTCATTAATAATCTGTTTTCATCTCTTAAAATTTTATAAATTTACCCTTTACATAAAATTCTGTCGTCCGTCTCTCTATGTATCTCTCCTAAGTTTTGAACCAACTTTATGGAACCACCCAAGTCTTGATTATTCGGCAAACTTGAGTATTTATGTTAATGTTTGCTTTTTTTTTCTTTTTCAATATACATGTTTAGAGGGTGTTTCAGCTGACAATGTTCTGTTTCTTTTTGAATCAACTTGAATGTCCTCTAGTTTGCCGAACTCGCTAATAGTAAGCTGAAGGAAAATGGGAGGTGGTAATGATGGCGAATCTAGTGACAAAGGGCTGTTTTCTCAGCTAGCTGGCTATGCTACTGGGCATTATCCTCCACATGGATATCCACAGCAAGGCTACCCACCACAAGGATATCCACCACCACAAGGCCCTCATGGATATCCACCACAAGGCTACCCTCCTCAGGGATATCCACCAGCTGGATATCCTCCTCCAGGGGGATACCCTCCTCCAGGAGGATACCATAATCCATCTCATGGTGGATATCCACCAGCCGGTTATCATGGTGGTATGCTCCATCACCCTTTCTTGTTACCATTGCTGCTGTTTTTTATTGTTGACTGGATTGAAGTATGCATGTCCATCTTCTTTGATTCTAAAAAGGAATTTGTTTTCTTGAATGTGGTCCACTACTTTACATACGTACATTCTGTTTTCATTTGCATCAATATATCATGAGTAAACCTGAATAGTGAAATTTACAGGACACAGTTCACATGGACCTGGCGTGGGAGGATTACTAGCTGGAGGTGCTGCGGCGGCGGCGGCTGTCTACGGAGCTCACCAATTGTCACATGGAGCTCATCATCTTGCACACGGGGGCTTCTATGGCCATGGTCATGGAAAATTCAAACACGGGAAATTTAAGCATGGGAAATTCGGAAAGCGCTGGAAGCATGGCATGTTTGGCAGACATAAGGGCAAGTTCTTCGGCAGGAAGTGGAAGTAAACTCCCGTTGTGTTCGAATATGGATCTTGTCATACTAGTATGCTCTTATAACAGTTTACTGACTTGATGACTGCCCCTCCAATAAACATATAGATTTGTTTCGGTTGTTATTTGTGCCTGGCATGCTACCAATACTATATCAGTGCTTATATATGTGCTGTTGGTTTATCTCTATGTATATGAATGAGCTTGATTCATTGGAAAGAGAGTGTTGCTTGTGATCCATGTTACTCTGAAACTCAGGTTTGCATTAGGTGTAGCATATATCTGACATGAGTATTTATTTTAATGATTTTTTTGTATGTTTGAAAGGCTCTCTTTTTATAATCATTTACAAATGTGTCGGACAATAAAATGAAATGAAAGAGTAATAGTGATCACTTTAATCCTATGTATTAAACAGGTTACTTGGATCGTTTGGTTGATGAAAATAGCTTTGTTAGTAAAGCTAATATGAAAGAGAAAAGTTTGTTGTCCTTTTTGCCTACTGAATTCTTTTAAGATATATATATATATATAGAGAGAGAGAGAGAGAGAGAGAGTTTAAATCAATTTTGATAATTTTGCATGTCCGGTTAATATAAATTCAAAATTAAATTGAAAACAATTATTGAAATTTGAAAATATTAGAGATGTTGAAAATTATTAAAAAGAAAAATCCATTTTCTTTTTCAAATTTAAATTAAAAATAGAAGTAATAAAAATTATAAATTATTAAAGAATTAGTATTTAAGAAATATATAACGCATAACATATGTAAATCAATTAACTTATTTTATTTGCATGCATTATGTTGAGTTAATTGTTGTGTAAGCTTTCTCTTTCTATTGTTTCTACACAAAATCTTTAAAGGTCAATTTGTACTCTTTCGGCTATATTGGTTAATTCATAGAGTTGATATATATTATTATTTATCAATTTTTAAAAATTTAGATAATTTATTTTTTAATAAAAAATTTAATCCTTAAAAATAATGAAAATTTATTTTTTTAAATAAATATAAAATTATTTTCAATAATGAATTATTCATAAAATGATATAAATTATTTTATTTGATTATTTTTATGAGCAAAATAAGGAGTTTATTATAAAGACAAAAAGTAAGAGGTCCATTTGCCATAGCAAGGAACAATTGAAAGCAAGTAGTAAAGAAAAAGAAAACCACCAAAATGAGAAGGAAGTCCATGGAGCATAAAATACTCCCTTTCCAAGGGTACAAACGACAAATTTTAAAATATAATTTGATAATATAAAATTAAAAATATTTAAAAAAAATAGTTGTAATCGAAAATTTTAATAAAAACATAATTTTTTAAGTTGAATTGAGTAATATTTTAAATATAACTAAAAAAAAGTTATCTTTTTCGTAACATTTTCAGGTTGTAAGTCTCAAACTATTCGCAATATAACTTTTCGTTTATAATAAAAAAATTTATAAAATTTTATAAAATTTTAAATTAAATATGATAAAATATGTTAATATTTTAAGCTAAAATAATCTTAAATTAATGGGTAAACTACACAGTAGACCACTAAACTATGGTAAAAAATCAATGTGACCACCGAGCTTTCAATTGAATCAATCAGACCACCAAATTATTTAAATTTTTTTTTGAAAAATGGTACTTTGTATTAAGACAAACAAAGTACATCACAACAAGGACATCATTAAAAAAACCTTCCTAAACCTAATTTGGAGGAAAAATAGTATACCTTAAAGTGGTAGAAATCAATTAGCTCCCAAATTATTTAATTGATTCAATCAGGCCACCAAATTATTTAATTTTTTTTTTTTTGAAAATGGTACTTTGTATTAAGACATAAACAAAGTACACCACAACAAGGTCATCATTAAAAAACCTTCCTAAACCTAATTTGGAGGAAAAAGAGTATACCTTGAAGTGGTAGAAATCAATTAGCTCCCAAATTATTTAATTGATTCAATCAGACCACCGGCCGTTAATTTTTAACAGAGGTGGTGACGTATCAGTTAAGCTTAATTGGCATAATTATATATTTGGTCCTTAATATTTACATATTCTATCAATTTAGTCATTATTTTAATTCAATTAAATAAATTTAATTATCCAATTAAAACATGACACATGTCAATATATGATTGAAATATTTTATTTATGAATTTCAAATTATTTAAATAAATAATTTTCTATCCAATCAGGTGTCACCACCCAATGGATATGAAAATTAAAGGGACCTACATGCTCTCTAAGGGATTTGAACCAAGGTCTTAGGGGAAGGATAGATCAGGTGTCCAAACCATTAGATCAAAGGTCTTCAATAGTTTAAAGTTACAACAATTTATATTTGTATTTTAAAGGTTTGTTAAGGATAAAAAATTACACAAATTATTTGTTTAAATAAATTATTTACGACTAATAATTTTCAAATAAATTTTGGTTCGATTAACGGTTAAAGAAAAAAATTAAGTTAATATTGTTCATTTGAAAATTATTAACCGAACCGAATTAATTTGAAAATTATTAATCGAACCGAATTAACCGAATGTTTTTGAAAATTATTAACCGAATTAATCGAAGCAAAAATTTGGTTAATTCGGTTCGGTTAATTGAACCAAAATTTATTTGAAAATTATTAACCGAAGCAAATTTATTTGAAAATTATTAACCAAACTGAATTAACCTTTTTTTAAAAAATATTAACCGAAATAATCCAAGAAAAAATTCAGTTAATTCGATTCGGTTAATTTGAAAATTATTAACCGAACCTAATTAATTTGAAAATTATTAACCAACCCAAATTAAATGATTTTTTTAAATTATTAATCGAATTAATCGAAGCAAAAATTTGGTGAATTCGGTTCAGTTAATCAAACGAAAATTTATTTTAAAATTATTAATCGAACCGAATTAATTTGAAATTATTAAACGAATTAACTGCATTTTTTTCTTTAACCATTAATCGAACCGAAATTTATTTGAAAATTATTAACCGAACCGAACAAATTTCGGTTAATTCGTTTAATTTTTGAATTAACGATTTTATTTTAAATTTCCTAATTTATATAAAAAATAAATATTTTTAATTAAAAAATAGTTTACAATTATTTTTTAATAATTTATTTAAACAAATAATTTCTTTATTTTTTATCCTTAATAAACCTTTAAAATAAAAATACAAATTGTTGTAATTTAAACAATTGGAGATATTTGGCCCAATGGTTTGGGTGTCTGATCTATCCCTCCCCCTAAGACCCTGGTTTTTGAATCCTTTAGAGAGTATGTTGATCCTTTTAATTTTCACATTCATTGGGTGGTGACACATGTCACCACCTGATTGGATAGAAAATTATTTAATTAAATAATTTGAAATTCATAAATAAAACTTTTCAATTATATATTAACACGTGTCACGTTATAATTGGATAGTTTAATTTAATTAATTAAATCAAAATAGTGACTAAATTGATAGAATATGTAAATATTAAGGACCAAATATATAATTATGCCAATTAAACTTAACGGCACATCACCACCTCTATTAAAAATTAACGGCAGTTGGTTTGATTGAATCAATTAAATAGTTTGGTGGTCTGATTGATTTAATTAAAAGTTTGGTGGTCGTTTTGATTTTTTACTATAGTTTAGTGGTCTCCCATGTATTTTACCCTAAATTAATATTTATATAGAGCAGAATTAGGGCACTAAGCAGCATAAAACTGACACACAGTAACCTCTCAACGTACAACCCATCTAGCAAACAGCACACCTCGGCACGCATCCAACGATTCAGAAAATAAAATGGTAAATCAATCCAATTGGAAACTTTAAAATTATAATCTATTTATTTATTTAAAATTATATCTCTGTGTTCGTTTGTTTCACGAACATGTTTAACAGTTAAATTTTGGTTTATAAATAAACAAAAAAATTGTAAATAAATTTATTTCTTATTTTTAAATATAAGATAATCAAACAAAAATATTAATAATTATAAATGAATAAAATAAAAATAAATAATTTATAAGAAAATATAAAATTAAATAAATAAACATAAATGAATTTATTCGTAAATATAAATGAATTAAAATAAACCCATAAACAATTTATTTGTAAACATAAACAATCGAATACATATTTATTTAATGCATTTTTAATAATAACTAAATATAAAATAATTTATTTAATTTCTCATTAATAATTGATCGTTTGTTTTGTAACCCATTTAAATGTGAAAAATGCAAATGCGAACAAAAATATTTGTTCCATAAATGCAAAAGCAATGGTGCGAGAGTTTGTAGCACTTGTTATTTGCTATCAATTGACGATTTTACCCTGTGGAGTACACATCACATTGATGGGTTCCGACCGACTCAACCCAATCGGTCAGATTTTTTTAAAAATAATTTGGGGTCAGGTTTTGACGGGTTCAGGTTTAATGTTAAAAATACTAAACCCAACCTAATCCGAAAAATTTTGTAATTTTACCTTATATATTTAATTATAATTACAATAATATCCCTCTGTATATATATTTTTTCAATTAAACTCCTTTTTTATTGAATAAAAATAATATTTTTTAATAAATATATTAATTTGGGTATGATTTGGATTTTATCTCAAAAAATAAAATCAGGTTTGAGTCAAGTGGAAGGTATATATTTTTGGGTAGGATTCGAATTGAGTGGAGGATTTATAATTTTTGAATCGGGTCAGTGGACTCAAGATCCAACCTGACCCTACCCATGCCCATATCTACTTACACCCATTTTCCCTTTCTCTTTTCCACTAAATACTTATTATGATCATGTTGAAACGGTCTTTTTCTCAAAAAGTAAGATTTTGAAAACCACGCCATTTTTAATTATCTTCTTTGTGATTAATTTTTAATTAAAAAGTAAATGTGATTTGAAAAAAATATCTCGTTTCGAAAATTTGAAAATTCCTTTACGATAAGAAAAACATAATGTTCGAAGAGTTGCCACCAATCTTTGATTAGGGTGTGACTGGGCAACCAAAAACGTTTTTGTTATTTTAAATAAAAAAATCATTTTAATTAAAACAAAAAATGGAGGTCTGTGTTACCAGAAAATGAGTTCGAGAGTCGATTACGCGTGGGGAATGATTAACACCCCCATAGCGCCCTAAATCGGTACATAGTCGATTAATTAACGTCTTTGCAATGAAATTTACAAATTCGATTTTAATTTGATTTATGATCCCCAA